ATATATATATATATATATATATATATATATATATATATAACTTTGTACTGCTTAAAACATTTAAATTTAAACAATTTCTATTTTTATACACTAAATTATGAATTAAATACTTATTCTCTTTTTAGGTGATTGGAACTATTTCATTTAACCGGCAACAGAATAAAATTAATCTACCAATAGAAAATGTTGTCCAAGATAGTTATGTTTATTTGTATGGCTGGGGAAGGAATATTTATCCTGATGGAGAATTTACAAATCACTTATTATCAGCAAGGGTTCAAGTCCTGAATGCAACTTACTGTCAGGACACATTTCCCTATAAAGTTCTCGACGATTGTATATGTACAAAAGATATTTCGAGTCGTGCATTATCTGTAAGTATTTAAGAAAATGCTTAAAATACATAAGTTAATCATACCTGAGAATAAAAACATTTTTATGATTAATTCGGATGTAATTCAGTAAAAACTGAATGACACACGCCGTTAAAAGTTAAATTATTATTAAATTTATATAATTATGACGTAATTTATAGATATAGTTAAGTGCAAAATGTATAAATAAAATGTATCACGTACATACAGGGTGATAGCGGAGGCCCAGTGATCCAAAATGGGAAACTAATTGGTATTATATCGTACGGTGCTCCATGGATCCTGGAAACACCCGATATACACATCAACGTCTTTAAACATTTACCTTTCATTAATAATATTATAAACAATTAGCAGCAGCATCATTTTAATAACTTTAATTTAAATTATTATTCACTATATTTATTCACGGTTAAAAACACCAAAAATATATTATTATTTTTACTTATAGTATTTTTCTTATTCTTCTTGTTCCTATTATTAATATTATTATTATTATTATATGATATTGTAAACTGATTCAATATCGGAATAACCTGGTGTAAAACATTATTTTTTATAATAAATTAATAACCTAATCAGTTATTGGTGAAAATGTTACGATTTTTTATATTATTTTAGATAATATATATTGTAGGTAAATCATATGTAATAAAGTAAATTACTTATATTCAGTAAAATTCCTGCTACTTTGCTGAAAAACAGTAATTACATTAAATGTGATGTATCAGTAAGAGAGAATATATATTTTAAAAGTAGATATAAGCACCTAAGTATATTATATTTTATTCCTGAATATTTATGTATTTGAGGAATTTGCATTTTCTATACAATAGAAAAGAGTAATCAATGCATAAAATTATTCTATATTTGTTAATAATTAATTTATAATAAGTAGCTTTTCTACTTTTAGAATTAGCTTAGAATTCTGTTGGAATAATTTTTATAATGTAATTATGAAAGAGAAGAATATGTAAAACTCGTCATTATACACAAGAAAAAGTAACTAATGTGCAATAATAATGTAAATTATATATAAATAAATAATGTTAACAGACATAGTAAAAATCTATTGCAATTAAAAAGGAAATATTTGCAACTAAATGCAACTAAAAAATAGGAAAAATATAACGAGCATTAATATACTTATTTTTTATGAAGATTTGACTCAACTCATGTATATCTCACTAAGTAAATTTCGAATTTTAAACAAGTTTAAACTACAAATTATTCAAAAACTGTAATACTAATTTTAATGAACTAAAATTTCATCAAAGAAATCAGCATATAAAAGAATTTACTTAACACTTATATTCAATATGTGTATTCACAATCATATAAAACTACGTTTAACTCAGTACTTGTAAAAAATTCTATGTATAAAATGAAATTATTAAATATTAGTTATGAAATGTGATACAGAAATAAAGTTAATGAAGAGACCCGAAAAATTATTTATTTTTTATATTCAATTTAAAGTATAAATTAATTAATAAAAATCAATAGTATTTACCTCAATGTTTCATATACACGGACTTATGCGAATTATTGGAGTGATAATAAATAATTTATATATATATATATATATGCGTGTGTATGTGTGTGTGTGTGTACGCGTGTGTTTTTGTTTGTTTGTTTGTTTGTTTGTTTGCGTTTGTTCAAATACAAATTTTTAACTTTGTTTGAGAATAAGAGACTCCGTTTAATAAGGCAATAAAATATCTGACAAGTAATGTCATGAAAATTGTATTTAAGACTTCAAAACTTTCCTGCTCATAATTATTTGTACTAGTGTCATAAAACATCTGGAAAACTCTAGCGGAACGTGCTCATACTCCCAGTGCAGTAGAACCTAATGGGTTTACTGCCGGGAGAACCCCAAAGTAGATTCGAAACGAATATCAGATATGCGTGAAGCATTGAGTACAAATATTTACTGCAACCGAAAACCCATACGTACTACACATGCAATGACCATACGTGCGCACTCGGCCTTTAAGACAATGCTTGCATTGTTCTTGGCTATGCCACATCTGGTCGATCGTATTGGAAAATTGACCACGCCCAAGCGGACCCTTCTTCTAGCCAAGTCCCAGAGAGGGATGAGGCAACCAAAGAGAGGTGACCAATGGAAAAGGCTCGCCACCTTCCGACACTTTCCCAATTAGCAAATTCGGAACTGAGCCCGGAAGGAAGTGGAAATGAAGGCGTGCATAATCTATTGTGCGACCCAAGATCAACCACTGATTGGTTAATTAATAAAGGAAGAAGGGATCCCAAGTGGAGCGGGATCAGTGAATCATTTTAAGAAGGGACTACGTAATGTACCCTCACTTACTCTTTCCAAATACTTCTTACAGTGAAGGATAAGTCACGACCAACTCTCACGGAGGAGGACCGGAGAGATGAGTCGTTTAGCTAGCTGAGTTTTAATAATAAGTTCTTTCCACTATTGTGAATTAGTGTACAGTTGAATTGATCTCATCAAGACTGGATTGCGTGGGACCTGACCACTTGTGGTCTCACTTGGAGACAAGGAAGAACTGAAGGGTTGCAACATTGCAAGGGAACGTAATAACAAGCCATCGAAGAGAGACTGGAAAATCACGATACACTGCAAGTAAGTCCTTACAGCTAGTACTCATTCTTGATTTCTCGGCTTATGTAGAAGACGGACGGATTAACGTCCAACTACGGAAGCTTCCCGGACATACTCTTGAACAAGACCAGCTATAAACGCCACATTGGCTTCTCAATCCCTCCAACTGCAAGTTGTTCCCGCCACAGATGGCGCACAGCTTCGCATAACCTCCATCTCGGCTCTCTTACGACCGATATTTAAAGGCAACTACACACGTATTAAGATAAACACAATAGCATTCCAGTGTTCGATCAGAGCACTACAATCATGATAACCTCTTAGCGATAATATTCAATAGATTATAACCTGCTTCATTCATAGTAAATATATTTCAACACCACAAGATTATCAAGAAATATAAAGTTCGTCTGTAATTCACCCTTTTGTAAATCAATTCAAATAAATAGAAATAATAAAGACATGTGTTAATTATTAGTCAGTGCATTTACCCTTTACTTGCCCGGCAACCCCACATAACATCTAGTGGGTTTTATTGTTCTACGTTAATTATTGCACGTTTGGCTGACTAGTCAAATTGTGGGATTATTTTCCGAACAAATACCATTAATTTAATAGGAATATAACAAGTTACGCACCTAAAATTCTGAATTTGGCAAATAATACACTGGTCAGATTCAAATCAATTAATTTCATTAACTAAAAAAATTAATTATATAAACGCGTGGGAGCGTATATTATATATCTCATAATAAATAAACTAAATTGAAATATCGGTACGTGAAATGTCTCAAATAAAGATGAAATATTAAATTTAATTCATGGTTAATGAACAAATTTAAGAAATATTAAAGATGAACTAAGAATTTTTATATCGTACCAATATTATTTATTATGAGTCGGATCCATATTTTTTTATACAATTCTATTAAAACATGAATTTCAATAGGTTCAGTTAAATAGTTTCATCGCAGTGGCTTTACGTTTATAATTCACACTATAGGCGAATTCTTATTATATCTTCATTTTCACAATTCTGTTTCTGATTTGTATTAATATTATATTGTTAATGGAAATTATATAGGGAAAAAAATTTTTGTTTGAATGCTTTTTTCAATACTTCTCTTTATTCTTTACAATTCAGATTATACGATAACATAAATTTAAATTTGAAAAATATTATAAGTAACTATTTCAATGTTTGGTACTCTTCATGTTTCTAAAATGATTTTAATATTCAAAAAAGATTACAATACATAATTAATATTTTGTAGGTATTGCTTTTTACGTCGCAGCTATTTAATCATCAAAATATAACTGGAGAACAAATGGGTGCATACTTTGGTTATGCTTTAGCTGTCAATGATATTGATGGCGATGATCGAGACGATCTTATAATCACCGCTCCTTTTTATAGTCAACCCGAATTTTCAGGAATTAAGATTGAAACTGGAAGAATATACATATTTTATCAAGGAAAAGGATTGACTAAGTATCATAAATATGATATTAGGTTTGTTATTTATTATATTTTAGTTATATATTCTGTTATAAAATATTATTTATCGTTCTTATTGTATAAAATTTATCGTTCATTATAATATGATTCCATTACATTATACTTATGTTTAAAATGCGTAATATTTGATTTTTTCGATACGAAAATTCTGGATGAAATTTAAGCCTCGTGCTATATCCACATAGCAACAAAGAAAGATTCTCAAATCTACTAAATCTTGCTTTCCGAGAATTACTCAGCGTTTCCAAGAATTGCAACGCTAAATGTACGCAGTCATATATAAGGAGCAACAGGCAACGAAGAAAATCAGCATGATTGAGTAAATCAAAGTGAAATTAGTGAAAGTCACAATAGTTAAAAGTTCTACGCGTCTGTCTACAGGAATTCGTGCAAGATATACTCATTCATTTATATTATTTATTTTCTATTTCGGGCCAGCTATCGGTGCGTCCTCCGCAACATGACTATAGTCAGACTGCCTTGAGGGCAATGACATAGACTGGCATCTCCAGCAACTTTTCTGTATCACATACTATTATTCGTGCAGCTCAGCGCCTACACTATCGGTCAGGTCTCGGCAACTTGATTCTTGTCAGACCGCTGAAGAGAACATCGATAATGTTTAACATTCCCCACCAATTCGTTTCTCGAGATTCACCACGAACAATCGACGAATAATGCGCCCATGGATTCGCGACTCTGCGATGCTCTCCACACGAGCTATCGCCGAATAATGCGTCCATGGATTCAGGACTCTGCGATGCTCTCCACACGAGATATCGCCGAATAATGCGCCCATGGATTTGCGAATCTTGCGATTTTCTCCCATTAATAAGAACTCATACGATAGATAACAGTAACAACCTATGTAACAAAACCTTAAATAAAAGACATTAAAACCAATTGCGTTTACACTAAATTGATGTATTAACCTCTCGCCCCCCCCCCATCACCATAAAACCGGTGGTACAGTCTAATCCATTTACCATGATCCGCCATCATATTGGTGGATGGAGTTCCAAACATTATAATTCTTCGAGCCGGATAGTACAGCTAATGCATTACCTCGGTGTTAACACATGGAAGGACGTGTCATTTATCTAAGAGAACTGCATTAAAAACCTTTACTGTTTTAAACTACCATCACCGACATTTATCAATAATCACATCTGTTCCGCCACATCGCCGAACGTCAACTCTTACCAAGGAATTATCTCGCTGACAAGTAGTCAATTGGTTCTTCCTCTGGGATACTAATTAATTGTCTGGGATCAGATTGAAAACCTCTCGTTGATGATAGGTGGAGGTGTTGCTGGCAAGTGGGAAAGGCAAATGCAATTAGTCAATTCTACATCTAGTATATCTTTGTCTTTCCTTTATTAAATACAATAATGTAATAATAGTTAATGGTTACAGAAGTGTATTAATAAAGAGTATGAGTGACTTATGTATTAAGTTTCTTCAATTATTTTACGTGTGTACGTGATGAACCGCTGCAGTTTAGTCCGTTGCTGATTTAAGTGTGTGCGATGAGCCGCGGCAGTTTAGTCCGTTGCTGATTTAAGTGTTCGTGATGAGCCGCCGCAGTTTATCTATCTTCAACGTATCAGAGATACGTTGGAGTTATACTTTTGTTAATTTCACTCTTAAATAATACTTGCACTAACCCTTCTTAAATATAGTTTAATGTATTTTGATCGTCTTGGTGTCGCTATTGGTTTATTAGATTGCTTGTTACTTGATGATTAATTTGTATAGTTACAGTGAGTGATGACTGTAGTTTGGAAGCTTGAAGAAAGAAAAGTGAGCCCATCATGGAGACTAAGTAATTTATAACTAGTAAAAGAGCTGCGCATCAAGCGCTGCTCAAATAATTTTCGTAGAAACGGTATGACGCCGGCAGTGCACCGCTGCCTGTTACTATGCCGAATTATAATCATATATTCGAGTTTTCAGCGTAGGAAATTTCTCGAATTCGCTACATTGTTTTGTTTTTAACATAATGTCCGGGAGTTTATACTTCTCCCACTTTTTAATTCCCCTTTCAACTGTTTCAATCCCGAATATTTATCAACAAGAAAATGCCAAACCACGAGAAGAAGGACTACTAGAACTCTACGAGCTCTGACGCACCTATAACTACAGAAACAGAAAACCGCATGACTCGTAGCGCTACCGCCGTCAAATTACAGTAAGTCAGAAGATAGTGGAAGAAGTTCCAAAGTCCCATTTGAAATATATCCATCGATAAAATCCAAGACGCGCAAAAACGAGTCGACGAGCTTAATAAGGCGCCGATACTGTCTGTTAGCTACAACCATATTACAATTACTGTTACGTGTCACTAGTACATTAAGGCGCCAACAGCGAGAGCTCAGCTTCCATAGCTACTGTTATGTTTCGCTAGTATATCACAGCGCCGACAGCTACTGTTATGTTTCGCTAGTACGTTACAGTCCTTATATATAGAACGTAGCTCCCATAATAACTGTTATGGTACACTAGTACAATTAAAAGCGCCTAAAGCACGAAACGACCACTCACCTGGCACACCCGGATGACGTTCTACAGTTATCGCCAACTGGTAAATTTACTGTTACTCATTCATGTTGAAGGCAGCAAGAAAGGGGGAAAACTCCTCAACTGAGCTTGAAGAAAGCATATTCAGTAACTGTACAAAATGCACCCGACGTTCCGACTTGTTTTATCAAGGCCGGTTCGACGGATACAATTTGATGCCGTTGACAACTCGGAGACCACAGGTGTTGTGTGGTAGCGATGACAGGTCACAAGTGGAAGGGATATTATAATAATACAATAAAGATATGGCTGAAGTATATGCTTTTTATTCTGTTATTTATTAATGACAAGATTGACTAGTATTACTATTATTACTTGTAAAACATAATTCTTGTTTGACGTGATGTGTTGCGGAGACAACTGTACAATAATCTATGCAGCTTGATTATTGAATATGAATGGCGAATGGCGCGAAGTTTCGTTCATAGACACTAGCGCCTTTTGAATGAGCACGTGTATGGTTGAGGTTATGAATGCGGCTTTATGATTGAAAGATATCGCAAGTGGCGCGAAACTGGATTGTCTGCACTTGCGTTGGGTTTTGCTTTCTTTCGTAAGCTTCCGAACTTGAACTAAGGTGATGGTTACGAAGTGGGATGCCCTTGGCGAGTGCGAAACTTGACGACGCGTACTGGAATTTATTCCGCACTGTCGTTTTAAGAGTCGCTTCTTCGTCCTTAGTGCTTGTCGATGTAATATTCTGAATCTCAATATATGTATAATTATTGTAGTCGATGCTACTTACAAAGACTAATCGTTGATTCGTCTTCGGACTCTGATAGGCGGATTGTCGTGGCTCCCTTGGAACAGGTAACTACAGTTTCTTGTACTACGTTATGGACATGCAGGTTTCTGTCATAGTTCTTCCAAAGCGGTAACTACTGTTCCAGCAACAGTGTTAATGGACAATCCGATGAAGTATAAGTCGGTCTGACAATAGTGCTAAATAGACCTTCACTAAACTTCACTGAGTATGAAATGTCTCAAGGGTTAATAAATTGAGAGAGTATTACTAAAGAGAAATATCAAAAGCTGAGACACTTCGAAACGAGTTAAAAATCACGAATGATAAGGGTTTAGAGAGTTAAGTATCGAGAGTAAATGAGTATTGAAAATTGCGCCCCTTCAATACATTTTCTGACCATGAAATTTTCTTGAACCCCTTCCCTTATTGTCTGTCCAATCAGAGACTCCTCCCTTATAGTGCGAGGTCAGCGCCTCTTTTGGGTACGGAGTTAATTAAGGGCCTAGTCGTTTCTGGGTCTTCATGATGCGCAGATCTCTCATTGCCGCTGCCGCGGCGAGGGGGGCATTCGCTGACACATCTGGTGACAGCAAGCAACTTCTTGACAGCGGAAAGGGGAAGGAGGGTCCGCATGCAGCCATGTTTAATGTAGTAGCCGAACGGAACAAAAATGCAGATGTCAAAACTATAGGTTTTTCCGTGTTTATGGTATTGTTTTTCTAGATGTTTTATGACACTAATGCGTGAGAAAATTTGAACAAGCAAAGTTTGAAATCCAAATACAACTGTTACGATATTACTTGCCAGAGGTTTTATTGCACCCACAAACAAAAGAAAAAAGGAAAAAATGTTCTCGCATTCTCGAACAGTAACAAAGCACAGCAACATCGCCTAAGACTCTCTTTCCTCCAGGTCACACGGTATCTCCAGCAGCCAGTACGGGCCCATGGAGTTGTTAGTCTGCGTCGCCCCTTCAATTCCATACCGTCTTGAGCCTAAACTGTAAATAGAAGCCCCTTGTGTTTAAGAGCACGTGCAGTCATAGCTTCCCTAGGTGGGACTACTCGAAGAAAAGCCGATGGCTAAGTGGTATGAAAATTCGCGATCGTACGGCCAATCCCGCCTGAATCAACTCTGTGCCAATACACGAGTAAAACATTATGTTGATTTATTAGAAGACCTCATTCGTAACGCAAAAAACCACTAAAGGGGCTACAACAACTAGAACTGGAAAGCAACTCCTAGGACTGCATAAGTATTCATCAACTAATGCAGACTCACTCAGCATATAAAAAAAACAATGGGAAGAATGACTAGGCGAATCCAACACCTAACCCAAGTTCCAGCAATTAAAGAACATTTATAATGACAAGAGTGAGAGCGGTACAAAATAAAAAACGAGTTGTTACAATAGGAAGCCATACCCAGACCAAACCACCCACAGAAGGATCAGTGAGAACATACCATTCTCCTATTGCAATGACTTTCCAAGGCTAATGAGCACGTCAAGGGACTACCATATGCACGTATTGCCAACATTCTGTGACTGCATGCCTCAAATTTAAGCAATTGTCAGTCACGGAGAGAAAACTTTCAAGGAAAAGCAACGACTATCGTCTACCTTGTTTAGCGCTCCACTCCGCTTGTGAGTGCACCAAACCCAAAAATTGCAACAAGTGTTCTGGGCAGCATTATACACCACCACATGACGAACAGTACTCGAGTCCAACCCGAACAAGTGTAGGGCATCACTATCCTCAAACTGAAGAGATAATGCAATCGTCTTAATGACATCAAGCACGCTGGTGCCAATCTCAAAAAGAAGAAAGTAATGTCAGACGCAGTAATCGGAATCCACCGACATCGCCATTTGCAGATACAAGATCATGAGGACAACTAGCACCTACAAAGAATCCATTGGATCGACAACCAAAAGGAAATGTCAATCATTTGACTACTGTAGCCAAGGCACAAGATCTGTTCCATTAATAGCAATCAGGACACTAAAGTAACTGGCGGATGACTAGGGAGAAAGATTCCCCCTGACTGTGCCATTCATCACGCGTGGCAGACATGTCATGAATCTTGGAGGCGAGAACACGCCGAACTACGACTGGAAACCCGATTCAACTACAGAACCGCCGCATGGCGTGCGGTTTCCCAGTGAGAAAAAATGGCAGTTAATTAATCGCGCTGCCCTCACCGTCATCAAGCTGTCAAAAAGGCGCACCATTGGAACAACGATATTTGAAGGAATCACCACACGCTTGCACAAATTGACGCGATCCTCAACACAAGGCAATTAGAATCAATGCGCGATGACTCCAAAGACCATTCAGCACTTTCCGGATATTCGTAATCAGGAGCCCACTTACTACTATCCCAGAACCATCTCTAAAGGATTTGTTAATTTCAGGAACAACCCGCTGGAAGCTGATAAGCAAGTGTACAACAACTCTGGTCACAGTGGTCGACACACTACTTGCAACAAAAACTGTCAAGTTCAAAATGGCACTACTCACGTAATGATATCCATGTTGGCTCAGTGGTCCCCATCACAAAGGAACAATAATTTCCCTGCAAGTGGCCACTCGCCAGAGTCAGAGCAATTCACAATCTGGTAATCCTATCTATTCAAGAAAATGACGGGAATCATCAACTACAGTGCTGATTGCGAGTAGAATGTTCAGGATTGAACTACTCAATAATAAAAAATTTATTGTTCATTATAATATGATTCCATTACATTATGCTTATGTTTAAAATGCGTAATATTTGAATTATTCAATGCGAAAATTCTCGATGAAATTTAAGCCTCGTGCTATATCCGCATAGCAACAAAGGAAGATTCTCGAATCTACTAAATCTACTTCCGAGAATTCATCAGCGTTTCCAAGAGTAAATCAAAGTGAAATTAGTGGGAGTCACAATAATGAAAGGTTCTACACGTCTGTCTACGGGAATTCGTGCAAGATATACTCATTTATTTACATTATTTATTTTCTATTTCGGGACAGCTATCGGTGCGTCTTCCGCAACATGACTATAGTGAGACTGCCTTGAGGGCAGACATAGACTGGCACTCAGCGACTTTTGTGTATCACATACTATTATTCGTGCAGCTCAGCGCCTACACTATCGGTCAGGTCTCGGTAACTTGATTCTTGTCAGACCACTGAAGAGAGCGTCGATAATGTTTAACATTCCCCACCAATTCATTTCTTGAGATTCACCATGAGCAATCGACGAATAATGCGCCCATGGATTCGCGACTCTTGCGATTTACGCCCATAAATAAGAACTTAAAACGCGTACCCAATATTACCAACACAGTCCTAGCCTTGCACTCCCAGACGACGTTCTTTATTTTATGGTCAACTGTCAATTCACGACGAACTCAACAATTCTCATCACGATCGGTAACAACAACAACCTATGTAACAAAACCTTAAAGAAAAGACACTAAAACCAATTGCGTTTACACTGAATTGATGTGTTAACCTGATGTACCCCCCCCTCCCGCCATCACCATTAAACCGGCGGTACGGTCTAATCCATCCACCATGATCCGCCATCATTTTAGTGGATGGAATTCCAAACACAGCTCGATCAATATAAATTGTAACTGAAATTATATCTCATGTTGAATTTTTAATGAAATACAATTAAATAAAAGAAACAATTAAATATTACGTAAATATTAACTAATAGAAAGACTGTAAATATAAATATTATAAAATAATGAGAAAAATTGTGAATTAAACAAATTTTCAGAAATGGTGAGAATAATAGAGGTCAATTTGGATTATCTGTAGCATCTTTAGGCGATATAAACCTTGATGGTTTCGGAGATTTTGTAGTTGGTGAACCTTATGGAGGAATCGAAAATCGCGGTGCAATATATATTTATCATGGCACCAAAGAAGGAGTCGAAAGCAAATATTCTCAAGTTATATATTCCGAAAATCTTGAAAAACCTATACGAACATTCGGATGGTCTGTTAGTGGCGGTTTAGATTTAGATGGAAACAATTATCCAGATATAGTTGTTGGTGCTTATGAATCTAATACGGTTACTTACTTTCGATCACGACCTGTCATTAGCATGTATTCAGAAATAAACTTCTTATCAAAATCCATTAATATACACAATAAAACCTGCACTTTATCTGATGGTTCAGCTGTGGCTTGTTCGGAGTTAAAAATCTGTTGTATGTATACAGGATTAGGATCCTGGTCTCAGCATAATTTTATAGTCCATCTATTATTAGATGATAAAAAGAAAAAAAATCCTCGCCTATTTTTTCTTGAATTTGAAAATAAACATATATTGAATTGGACAATCAGTATAATAAAAAATGAACATCATTGCCGACATATAAAGGTTAGTTATAAATACAATTTATAATAATTTGACATTACTTTAAATACTTAACTATGACGTAATTGAATATATTATTTTTATTTATTGAAAAAATAACTTTATTATTGCACTCTGGTTATAATGTTACTTCATATAAGAGGTTTCTCCGTATCATAACTACACTACATAATATTTATAATGATAATTATAGTATGTTAAGAACTATATTTTCATAAAGCAACTACTACACTATCTTTAAATCTTTATCCTTTTATTTTACGTTTTATTTATTATTATTTTTATAAAAATTAACATTAAATTTATTCATAAAAAAATTTCATAAAAAAACTTCCTAGATCACTGAATATTACTACAATAATCGATAGTTTATTTTTTTCTATAATATATTCGAGCACTTGGAGTGTTTGAAAAACATTCGGCTTTTGTTCCATCAAATTATGCCTATTAAATATTCCATTAAATTATTTTTATAATAAAAATATTAGGTTTAAAATTTTTTACTATTTATTTTGTTCAAAGTTTTTATTATAGTTATTTGTAATATTTACTAGCAATTACTTTAAAAATTTGGATATTTCATTATTAAACAATATGTTTTATTTTCTTTAAAAATATGTGTCCTAAATGTACACATTAAAATTACATTAAAATTAATAGTATACAGCAAGATTAGTTTATTCACTCTACGAGTTATATATTGTTACAAAATATTGACTGTATCTATATTAATTATATCAAAAATTCAGCTAATAGTTATCCAATAATTTATTTATATTATATTATATGTACAAGAAAACGTAATGTAAGCCTGCGCATTTTTGAATAACTAATATAAACTTTTATGGTGTAAGTAGAATATCCTATTATATATAATGTATCTTCCAAATATTATTTAACTAATATTTCAAACAGTTTTAATATCGTTAAATTTTATTTAAAAAAGTACAAAATTATTTAAACTGATTTTTCAATGGGTGTTCGATTTTAAAGGGTTAGCTTATGGCTCGAATTACCAATTCAATAGTTCAGTGGATTAGTCTCTCGGCAGGATAATTTTAAAGGAAATCAATAACAGACAAGGCTGAAAAATATAATATATTTATTAAAAACAAGGTTTATGATTGTAAACAATTATAATAATATTGCACTGTTGTGTAGAAATAAATAATTCTGTTGGATTATTCAAATGATGTGTTCTTGTGATTCTTATGCTATGAAGGCTTCTACAGATATTACAGTGTTGCTTTGAGGTTATGCTGATGTTGTCAATGTCAGCTGATGTCGTCAGTCAATCATGCTTGTGAGGCAGCATGAGAAGATGGTAGTTGAATCAAGTATGCTTGATTGATGAATAATATATATAATATATTATTAATATATATTTAATATACTTGATGTGGTGTTAGATCTTAAATGGAATTTATTATGTAATCGATTATGTCTTTGATTATGTACAAGGGACAGCAGTAGAATCTAGTCACAGGTAAAAAAAATTAAAGGTAAGATTTCTAATTCGTGAAGGATTTTATAATCTGTATTTATAGAGTCTATTAGTCGATCTGTGTTGGTCATGTGTAACCAATGTGTGTGAACCACAGTGACTCTTGAGTCAGCTGTTCAAGGCCTGCACGGTTCCGAAGTGTTCTTCGGAATGCGCTAGTGTGCCCTGTTTGTTCTAGCGGGCCTGTACGATGTCGAGCGGTTGGTTCGAGAGAGCGTAAGTGTGCCCTGTTTGTGCTAGCGGGCCTGTACGATGTCGAGGGATCAGTTCGAGAGAGC